GCAGGAGGCTGCAGGAGAGGGTCTGGCACCTCCTCCCCATGAGGAAGGTGAGAACAGGAGAAGCACTGGTGATGATCCTGACACCCAGCGGTCACTGAGCCTCCTGTGTGCCAGGCATTGTCTCCAAACCTCACATTTAGACAACCCTCCAGCGAGGCGATGTCTGCCTCCACAGGTGAGGAAACGGAGGCGCAGTGTCTTGTCTCTCACCCCAGGCCACACAGGATCACAGTTTACATCCTGGCCTCAAAACTGGGGGAGCACAAAGACTCACAGCTTGCGGTGGTTGGGGGGTGTTCCTACACTGGTTCCCTCATTGTGAAGATGGGTCGGTCACCAACCCCCAGAATCCCTGCCTTGGCCATGGCCATGTCCCCTTGCTAGGGGGGCCCTCTTGCCTTCCCTAAGTCCTGGCTTCTCTTTCTTCTGAGAGTCTCATTAGAGGCCCGGGTATTTCTCCAAGTGTGGCCCCTGAACCAGACCCCGGGTGGTCTGTGGAAATGCATGTTCCCAGACCCCACCCCAGCCCCGTCATCTTAGGTTTGCACAGAGGTCCCTTTCTGTGGGACCTGGAGAGTGGCTTTCCAGGAGAGAGCTTTCTCTCTGAAACTGTGGCCTCCCCAGCCTCCCCGCAGCCTCCTGTGTCCACTGTGACCACCATCCTTGCCATCACTTTCTGTCATCCCCAAGGGGAGCTCCAGAGGACAAGGCTTTGCTCTGTTTGCTGCTCCAGACCCAAAGGTCGCAGTAGGAGAGCTTTAGCTCCAAGTTGAAAATCACTTGGCCCAAAAGAGCGCTGAGATGGGAAAGCCCAGCTCTTGCCTCAGCGTCTTGCTGTGTGAATGAATCAGTGAATCACTGCAGGGTGGGGACAGGGTGGCACCTCCCCTTGAGGGCTAGGTTGTAAGGGGGTGAAAAGAGGCCCACTCAGGCTGTTAGGAATGCCCTGTGTTGGTGGCCTACTGGGAAGTACGTGGCCCTGGACGCACAAGCCATTAGCCTGCTCCTGGAACTGCTGTACTCACCCATGGGCAGGGTGTGCCTGAAGGCCACCAAGGCCCTCACCATGCTGCCAGAGGCCCCCGAGGACTGCAAGGTCCTGCAGGCAGGCCCACATGCACACCTTCCATGTCCCTGAGGAGGACTCTTACAACAAGGCTTACGAGGGCAAGACCTTATGACAGGCGACCCAGATCGCCATCGATGTCATTGAGTGGAAGCCCTGAGCCCCTCATTGGGTCAGATCTGATCAGCCACCTCCGCACCTGAATCAATGCGCTCAGACTCTTTATTTCAAGTCGGAATGGCACTTTTTGTTCCTGGAGCACAGTTATGTCTCTTCCCACTCTCTTGCCAAAGGGGAAATGCCAGGCCCAGAAGCACCAGGTCCTGGGTGGTAAAGGCCAAACCCAGTGCTGGGGGTGGGTGGGAGGTGGCCTTGGAGTTTTACTGTCTGCTGGGGCCAAGAGTTCCCCTCAGAATGTAGAGAGCAGGATTGAGACTTCCAGGGACAAAGCTGGGGGCAGGAACTTGGGCTGGGGGAAGGAAGGAACCCAGCTGCAGCAGCCACCACCCAGGTTTCAGAAGCTCCAGTGATTGACCCATGGGGTGTGGCTGGGTGTCACTCTCCTCAGCCAGGTTTGCCTGTTCCCACCCTGGGTGGCAGGAAAGAAGGCAAAAGGTGAAACCCGATGCAGGTTCTTTTGACTGAGGATGACTCTGTCTTTTGACTGAGGATGACAGGCTCCCCCAAGGATGAGAGCTTGGGAGAGGGAGAGGTTCTGGTTTCTCCTTAAGATCTTCCCAGCAAATAGCTGCATTCTTCAGTCACCCAAGCACGCCCCCAGGCTGGCCTGAAGCCCAGCCACCTCAAAGGCACATTCCTGGTGCTGTCCAGGAGGGGAGCCTAGGAATCACACGAAAGTCTCCATCACTTCTTTACGCCAAGCCTGGGAAAACACCTGACTGCAGAACTTGAGCCTCCCTCAGATGTCACTGCAGCACGCACTGGCCTGCCCTTTGGGTCAGCACCCTGGTCAGCTCCTCGGAAGGCCTTCACCCTGGATGAAGAAGAGACAACCCCTTTTCAGTGAGAGCAGGCTCCCAGCTTTGTGCACTGTGACATCATCCCACTAAGCAGCCTCCACGCCAGCATCTCCTGGGCTCCTGCCTCTGCAGTCCAGGCTGAGAAGAAATCAGAGATGTGGGAACTCATCAGCCAGGGACAGAGGTGCCTCTGTTACAAGGGGAGGGCCTCTGTTACAACACAGCCTATGTTGGGACCTAGAAGTCCTGAGCACCACACCCTTGCCTCCATTCTCCAAGGCCCATTTACCACACCGTTATCAGCTTCCGGGATTTAAGAAGCTGCTGCTGGGAGAGGTATGGGAGCCAGCCTAGAAGAGGCAACTGGTAGTTCAACTGTAGCCCAAAGGCACAAACTGCCACCCCAGACAGACAAGGCTGGATAAGGGCAGTGGGACAGCCAGTGGCTATAAGCCCACAGTGTGGAGGGAGCCACCTGTGTTGAGACCCCAGCTCTACACTGACTGTTTATCTTGCCTGGGGCAAGTTAACTGCTCAGTGCCTCAGTTTTCCTAGTTCTAAAATGGGGATAGTAATTGTCCCTATCATAAGTGGGTATGATTTTGGCAGTGCCAGGTGCATCATACTGAAAACAAGTGCCTCGTACATTGTGGGTACCCAGGAAGCCAGCTTACAGCCCCTCAGAGGAAACTCATCAGCAGGCATCTGAGGGAGCCTGGATCCCTGCATCCTGCAGGTGCCTGGGGTCCTACGCCCAGGAGAAGCTGCTCCCTCACTCCACAGCAGTCTACACAGCACCCCCTGACCAGGGCTACACCTCCTTGTGCAGGTGTCAGGAGGGACCCCTGGGCTTCTCTGGGCTCTGACCTTCCCTGGCAGGACTGTAGAGGGCCCAGAACCCTGCCTTCTCCCAGCCAGGCCCTTCCCTCCCTTTCCCAAACTCACAGCCTCCTCACCGCTCTCTGCCTCAGACTCAGGACTAATCTCACTATGTCCTTCATCTCTGTTTGCATCAGGGGCTGCAAGAAGCTCAGTTCACCTCCCCTTCATGGCCTTGAATACTCCTTTTCTTACTCCATCTGCTGAAACCTTTTTTCCAAGCCCTCTGGAGGCCCCAGGGCCTCAGCCACTCCCTGGAACATTCTTCCCTTTCTTGATTAGACTGAAACCTAGCTCTCCAGAGACCTGCTTCCCCACCCTGGGCATCCTCCTATGTGGGGCTGCTTTCCTCCCTGCCTGCCCCTCATGCCCTCACTGGAATCGAACAGGTCCTTACAGACCATCTCCTGTGCCTGTTCTGAGGAGCCCTCTGGTTCGGAATCCCTGCACAGGCTCTGTGGTCCTGGCCCTCTCCCCTCCCCAGCACCACACCACCAGATTGCTCTTGTAGAGCACCACGTCGTCTCCATGTGAGGGAAACAGGACTGCTAAGCTGCATGACTACCTCCTCCTCCAGGATGCTTTTCACATCTTCCACGATCCCCTCACTGGAGACCTTCCACGGCCCGGACTCATCTTAGGCCTCCCTGTTCTCTCCATGAGCTACTGGGGTGCCTGCCGATCAGATAATGAGCGGTGCTGTCACTGAACTGACTGCCCGCGGAGACTCGTGGTCTTTGGTGCATTCCAGGCTCCACCACAGACTCTGCATCCACAGACAACTGTGGTGCTGGCTGCTCTCTGCCATCAGGTTACCCTTCCATTTTTACTTATTGCCTAAAGAACTTCATACAAAATTCTATTTAAAACCAGTTTAGGCCGGGTGCAGTGGCGCATGCCTGTAATCCCAGCACTTTGGGAGGCCGAGGTGGGCAGATCACGAGGTCAGGATATGGAGACCATCCTGACTAACACAGTAAAACCTCGTCTCTACTAAAAATACAAAAAATTAGCCAGGTGTGGTGGCGGGCGCCTGTAGTCCCAGCTACTCAGGAGGCTGAGGCAAGAGAATGGCATGAACCCAGGAGGTGGAGTCTGCAGTGAGCAAACTCTTAGCTCTTAGCTGAGACTCACATTCCTCATGTATATAATGACTATAACAAAACTAATTCTGTCTCAAACTGATTGTGACACTTGAAGGAGGCAACATAGAGAAGTGCCCATATACTCAATTTATATCTGTTATTATTTTCATTCTTATAACTTAAGCACCTGCTTATTAACTACAGTCATATGTGGCAGAATGACATTTTGGTCAATGACAGACCACATGTATGACAGTGGTCCCATAAGATTATAACAAAGCTGAAAATTTCCCTTTCCCTAGTAAAGTCGTAACTGTTGGAATGTCGGCGCAGTGTGTTACTTACGTGTCTGTGGTAAGGCGGTGTAAACAAACCTACTGCGCTGCATCATTAGAGTCAAACAACATTTCTTTTTGGTAAAGATTTTAAGTAATGTGTTATATAAATGAAAGACTAACCACAGTGATGGAATTTTTAGAAACAGATAAACTAAGAGTCCATGAGGATTTGGAGAAACGGCTATTCACATATGATGTTAGAGGAGCATGAATTGGTGTCATCATTTTGGAAAAAGTTTGGCATTATTTATGATAATGAAAGATATGCCCCCTTCTAACAGTCTACTCCACAGAAGTGCGTGCTGGTGCTATTCCAAAACCATTGACAAAAATACTCAAAGCACCATTACTTGAGATAGTCACAATTATATTAAAAGTAACTCTGGCCAGGTACAGTGGCTCATGCCTATAATCTGAGCACTTTGGGAGGCTGAGGTGTGCAGATTGCCTGAGGTCAGGAGTGCGTGACCAGCCTGACCAACATGGTGAAACTCTGTCTCTATCAAAAATACAAAAAAATTAGCCAAGCGTGGTGGTGGGCGCCTGTAGTCCCAGCTACTGAAGAGGCTGGGGCAGAAGAATGGCGCGAACCCGGGAGGCAGAGCTTGCAGTGAGCTGAGATCACACCACTGCACTCCAGCCTGGGCGAGAGAGCGAGACTGTCTCAGAAAAATAAAATAAAAAAAGAAAAAGTCTAGAACTTAAGTGATGAATATCAACTTAGAGAACAAAACCAAAGCCAAAGTTTTGAAGATAGGAAATAGTGTGATACTATCTTTTGTGGGAAGGAACTATTGGCTTCTCCAAAAATTAGAGAACTGGGGAGAAAGAAACCTCATCTCAGAATCTGTGACTGGGTTGGAACTGGAGGCTGGAAATATGCTCAAGGTCAAACATTCCTCCTCCCTTCAAAGGAGTCTGGAGTTTTACCAGTGAGCCCAGTGTGAATATTCACTCCGCCATCTACCCCAGGAGATTCCTTTAAACCAGGAGCGCACAGTGAGGACAGAAACATGAATGTGCACTAACAAGTCCTGAAAGTTCAGAGGGTGATTCTCGATTTCCCCTTGGCACACAGCAGAAGAACTGTGTCTCTAGGTTCCAGGAAATGCCTGTGAGAGAGCTGTGTCCCCCAGAGTCCCTTCATCACAGATGACACCCAGTGCTTAAGCCTACACCCTTCTGCACAATCCCTAGGAGTGCTGACTAATCCAAACCAAAGGCTCTCATGTTCCACAGGCAGAAAAGAGCAGGTGGACTGCAAAGAGAATCTCTCATGAACGTGGCACCCCCATAGCCCATAGAGACAGTTCTTACCATGATGCCAAGAAACTCTGGAAACAACAAGCCAGACCTCACACATATTTCCATTTTCTTTCTGATTTCATACCCCCTCTTTCAGCCCCTCCTCACAAGCAGCAGGGATAACCTGGAGGCTCCTGGGAACCTTTTCCCATTGGGTTTTTCCTGGCACGTAGTTCCCTACCTGGATAAGTCTCCTCGTCACTTATGCTCTCCAGCGTCAAGTCTTTAGAAAGAAAAACACCAGGATAAGTCATTAGACAGAGTGACTCACCCGCTCCTCCTACTTTAGCTGAAGCTGATTGATGGGCTATTCTCCCACCCCACGCTGCTTCATACATGATCCCCTCATCTTTCTTCTGGGTTGACAAACTGCCCTACAGCTTCTCGGGCCAGAGTTCTTTTTTTTTTTTTTTTTTTTTTGAGACTGAGTCTGGCTCTGTCGCCCAGGCTGGAGTGCAGTGGCCGGACCTCAGCTCACTGCAAGCTCCGCCTCCCGGGTTTACGCCATTCTTCTGCCTCAGCCTCCCGAGTAGCTGGGACTACAGGCGCCACCACCTCGCCCGGCTAGTTTTTTGTATTTTTTTTTTTTAGTAGAGACGGGGTTTCACCATGTTCACCAGGATGGTCTCGATCTCCTGACCTCGTGATCCACCCGTCTCAGCCTCCCAAAGTGCTGGGATTACAGGCTTGAGCCACCGCGCCCGGCCTCGGGCCAGAGTTCTATACTGGCAGAATCATTTTCATGAGAACCCCAAGCCTCTTTCCCAGCAGGAACCCAGAATCAGGTTTCTATACACTGATGCTAGCAAGTTTTTCCCTCAGGAAGTGAGTTATTTCATGGTACATACCATTTTCATTCCAAGCTGTTCCCTGCAATTATATAAAAGAAAACGTCGTGAGAATCAGATTCTGCTGTGCGCTTCACACAGATCTGTTATTCTCTGGACAACGATAAAAAACCAGAAGGTGGCACAGCGATTGAACAATAGGTCAAAGTCCCCAAAGCCTAGCACAGAGGATAGCTATAGAAAAACAATACCTTAATTCACAGAATTTACCTTTAATTTTATATTCAAATGCACAATGCTTAATCCAAGGAGGAAAAGTGGTGTGGAAAATGCCTCAGTATTCCAGTTGATACTGGATGCTGTCATTGAAAAGCACCCTAGTGGACCATGTATCAGTTGGGAAGACACGCCTACTGAATTCCAGCCCCACAAAGAGAATAGTGTACAGTGTACATAATGTGCACTGCCAGATTTTCATATCAAAATTAACTGAGAAGTAAAGAATCAGGAAAGCAACACTGCTGTAAAAGACCAAAAAGGGGAGTCTTACCTGGACATCATTATTATCATCATCATCTTCTTTTTCTTCTTCTTCATCTTTGCGTTGTGGTGAGCCTCTTAAAAACAGGCCATCCTCAGGACAAACTGGAAGGACACAGAGGAAAGATCAGTGCACTGGTGGTTGGTGACTGTGAGTCACTCAGGGAGCTTTGCTGGATGTGGTGTATGGAGGTGGTTGACAAGCGTGAACTGAGTTGATGCTGGGCTATTCCCCTGAGTGGGAGAGGGATGGCAGAGAAGGGGAGCAGGAAAGACACGAGACATGAAGGCGTCGGCCTCGTACTAGAGGCATCAGGCAGCAACACAAAACATACAACCCCAAATGGATCTAAAATGCATACTGAGGGTCAGTGGAAGAGTCCTTTCTCCCTCTCAAATGTTTTGAAACTCTTCAAAACAAACAGCATTTTCTTAACATATTCAAGACCACTTCAGTACACTAGGATCTAATTATGCTGATACCACATTTAGCATCTGTTTTAAAGGATTTATTACTTGATTAAAAGCCAATGTTATGGTGAAATGGACTCAATTTTACCCAAATTACTCTATTCTATTAATCGCACATTCTTTTTCATAGAGATCATTTAAAAATTCAATGTTAAAATGCTGCAATTAAAAATAGTCATGATTTCCTCTTTGTAAGTCTTCTTCTGGAACCACTTCTACACACCCTTTTGGACCCCTGTGATCAGGCGTTCCAGCAGCTCCTGTGTGACGACTCTCCCTGAGGAGATTCCCTAAAAATCAGGCTTCCTTCAAACAGGCCAAACTCACACAGCCTGCTCTACCTACACCAGTGAAGCTGAGAGACGTGACTCTGAACACTTTCTGCCATGAGGATAAGCTTCCAGGTTCAAATACACATTATCTACTGAAATGAGGAAATGTATACCAATAGAAATGAATGAATTCATGAAAAAATGTTCATGAGTACGGGGGTGATTTTTGGTTAACTAGCTTACATAAAAATTATTTTTTTGGCTGAGCACTCTGGCTCACACCTGTAATTCCAGCAGTTTGGGGCTGAGGTGGGTGGATGACCTGATGTCAAGAGTTCACGACCAGCCTGGCCAACATGGTGAAACCCTGTCTCTATCAAAAATACAAAAAAATTAGCCAAGCGTGGTGGTGGGCGCCCGTAGTCCCAGCTACTCGGGAGGCTGAGGCTGAAGAATGGCGCGAACCCGGGAGGCAGAGCTTGCAGTGAGCTGAGATCACACCACTGCACTCCAGCCTGGGCGAGAGAGCGAGACTTTGTCTCAGAAAAAAAAAATAAAAAAAGAAAAAGTCTAGAACTTAAGTGATGAATATCAACTTAGAGAACAAAACCAAAGCCAAAGTTTTGAAGATAGGAAATAGTGTGATACTATCTTTTGTGGGAAGGAACTACTGGCTTCTCCAAAAATTAGAGAACTGAGGAGAAAGAAACCTCATCTCAGAATCTGTGACTGGGTTGGAACTGGAGGCTGGAAATATGCTCAAGGTCAAACATTCCTCCTCCCTTCAAAGGAGACTGGAGTTTTACCAGTGAGCCCAGAGTGAATATTCAGTCCGCCATCTACCCCAGGAGATTCCTTTAAACCAGGAGCGCACAGTGAGGACAGAAACATGAATGTGCACTAACGAGTCCTGAAAGCTGAGAGGGTGATTCTCGATTTCCCCTTGGCACACAGCAGAAGAACTGTGTCTCTAGGTTCCAGGAAATGCCTTTGAGAGAGCTGTGTCCCCCAGAGTCCCTTCATCACAGATGACACCCAGTGCTTAAGCCTACACCCTTCTGCACAATCCCTAGGAGTGCTGACTAATCCAAACCAAAGGCTCTCATGTTCCACAGGCAGAAAAGAGCAGGTGGACTGCAAAGACAATCTCTCATGAACGCAGCACCCCCAAAGCCCATAGAGACAGTTCCTACCATGATGCCAGGAAACTGAAAACAATAAGACAGACCTCACACATATTTCCATTTTCTTTCTGATTTCATACCCCCTCCTTCAGCCCCTCCTCACAAGCAGCAGGGATAACCTGGAGGCTCCTGGGAACCTTTTCCCATTGGGTTTTTCCTGGCACGTAGTTCCCTACCTGGATGAGTCTCCTCGTCACTTATACTCTCCAGCGTCAAGTCTTTAGAAAGAAAAACACCAGGATAAGTCATTAGACAGAGTGACTCGCCCGCTCCTCCTACTTTAGCTGAAGCTGATTGATGGGCTATTCTCCCACCCCCCGCTGCTTCATACATGATCCCCTCATCTTTCTTCTGGGTTGACAAACCTCCCTACAGCTCCTCTGGCCAGAGTTCTATACTGGCAAAATCACTTTCATGACAACCCCAAGCCTCTTTCCCAGCAGGAACCCAGAATCAGGTTTCTATACACTGAAGCTAGCAAGTTTTTCCCTCAGGAAGTGAGTTATTTCATGGTACATACCGTTTTCATTCCAAGCTGTTATCTGCAATTATATAAAAGAAAACATCGTGAGAATCAGATTCTGCTGTGTGCTTCACACAGATCTGTTATTCTCTAGACAACGATAAAAAACCAGAAGGCAGTACAGCGATTGAACAATAGGTCAAAGTCCCCAAAGCCTAGCACAGAGGATAGCTTAGAAAAACAATACCTTAATTCACAGAATTTACCTTTAATTTTATATTCAAATGCACAATGCTTAATCCAAGGAGGAAAAGTGGTGTGGAAAATGCCTCGGTATTCCAGTTGATACTGGATGCTGTCATTGAAAAGCACCCTAGCGGACAATGTATCAGTTGGGAAGACACGCCTACTGAATTCCAGCCCCACAAAGAGAATAGTGTACAGTGTACATAATGTGCACTGCCAGATTTTCATATCAAAATTAACTGAGAAGTAAAGAATCAGGAAAACAACACTGCTGTAAAAGACCAAAAAGGGGAGTCTTACCTGGACATCATTATTATCATCATCATCTTCTTTTTCTTCTTCTTCATCTTTGCGTTGTGGTGAGCCTCTTAAAAACAGGCCATCCTCAGGACAAACTGGAAGGACACAGAGGAAAGATCAGTGCACTGGTGGTTGGTGACTGTGAGTCACTCAGGGAGCTTTGCTGGATGTGGTGTATGGAGGTGGTTGACAAGCGTGAACTGAGTTGATGCTGGGCTATTCCCCTGAGTGGGAGAGGGATGGCAGAGAAGGGGAGCAGGAAAGACACGAGACATGAAGGCGTCGGCCTCGTACTAGAGGCATCAGGCAGCAACACAAAACATACAACCCCAAATGGATCTAAAATGCATACTGAGGGTCAATGGAAGAGTCCTTTCTCCTGCTCAAATGTTTTGAAACTCTTCAAAACAAACAGCATTTTCTTAACATATTCAAGACCACGTCAGTACACTAGGATCTAATTATGCTGATACTACATTTAGCATCTGTTTTAAAGGATTTATTACTTGATTAAAAGCCAATTTTATGGTGAAATGGACTCAATTTTACCCAAATTACTCTATTCTATTAATCACACATTCTTTTTCATAGAGGTCATTTAAAAAATTAAGTTTTAAAATGCTACAATTAAAAATAGTCATGATTTCCTCTTTGTAAGTCTTCTTCTGGAACCACTTCTACACACCCTTTTGGACCCCTGTGATCAGGCGCTCCAGCAGCTCCTGTGTGACTCTCCCTGAGGAGATTCCCTAAAAATCAGGCTTCCTTCAAACAGGCCAAACTCACACAGCCTGCTCTATGTACACCAGTGAAGCTGAGAGACGTGACTCTGAACACTTTCTGCCATGAGGATAAGCTTCCAGGTTCAAATACACCTTATCTACTGAAATGAGGAAATGTATACCAATAGAAATGAATGAATTCATGAAAAAATGTTCATGAGTACGGGGGTGATTTTTGGTTAACTAGCTTACATAAAAATTATTTTTTTGGCTGAGCACTCTGGCTCACACCTGTAATTCCAGCAGTTTGGGAGGCTGAGGTGGGCGGATGACCTGATGTCAAGAGTTCACGACCAGCCTGGCCAACATGGTGAAACCCTGTCTCTATCAAAAATACAAAAAAATTAGCCAAGCGTGGTGGTGGGCGCCCGTAGTCCCAGCTACTCGGGAGGCTGAGGCAGAAGAATGGCGCGAACCCGGGAGGCAGAGCTTGCAGTGAGCTGAGATCACACCACTGCACTCCAGCCTGGGCGAGAGAGCGAGACTTTGTCTCAGAAAAAAAAAATAAAAAAAGAAAAAGTCTAGAACTTAAGTGATATCAACTTAGAGAACAAAACCAAAGCCAAAGTTTTGAAGATAGGAAATAGTGTGATACTATCTTTTGTGGGAAGGAACTATTGGCTTCTCCAAAAATTAGAGAACTGGGGAGAAAGAAACCTCATCTCAGAATCTGTGACTGGGTTGGAACTGGAGGTTGGAAATGTGCTCAAGGTCAAACATTCCTCCTCCCTTCAAAGGAGACTGGAGTTTTACCAGTGAGCCCAGCGTGAATATTCAGTCTGCCATCCACCCCAGGAGATTCCTTTAAACCAGGAGCGCACAGTGAGGACAGACACATGAACATGCACTAACAAGTCCTGAAAGTTCAGAGGGTGATTCTTGATTTCCCCTTGGCACACAGCAGAAGAACTGTTTCTCTAGGCTCCAGGAAATGCCTGTGAGAGAGCTGTGTCCCCCAGAGTCCCTTCATCACAGATGACACCCAGTGCTTAAGCCTACACCCTTCTGCACAATCCCTAGGAGTGCTGACTAATCCAAACCAAAGGCTCTCATGTTCCACAGGCAGAAAAGAGCAGGTGGACTGCAAAGACAATCTCTCATGAACGCAGCACCCCCAAAGCCCATAGAGACAGTTCCTACCATGATGCCAAGAAACTGAAAACAATAAGCCAGACCTCACACATATTTCCATTTTCTTTCTGATTTCATACCCCCTCCTTCAGCCCCTCCTCACAAGCAGCAGGGATAACCTGGATGCTCCTGGGAACCTTTTCCCATTGGGTTTTTCCTGGCACGTAGTTCCCTACCTGGATGAGTCTCCTCGTCACTTATACTCTCCAGCGTCAAGTCTTTAGAAAGAAAAACACCAGGATAAGTCATTAGATAGAGTGACTCGCCCGCTCCTCCTACTTTAGCTGAAGCTGATTGATGGGCTATTCTCCCACCCCCCGCTGCTTCATACATGATCCCCTCATCTTTCTTCTGGGTTGACAAACCTCCCTACAGCTTCTCGGGCCAGAGTTCTATACTGGCAAAATCACTTTCATGAGAACCCCAAGCCTCTTTCCCAGCAGGAACCCAGAATCAGGTTTCTATACACTGAAGCTAGCAAGTTTTTCCCTCAGGAAGTGAGTTATTTCATGGTACATACCGTTTTCATTCCAAGCTGTTATCTGCAATTGTATAAAAGAAAACATCGTGAGAATCAGATTCTGCTGTGTGCTTCACACATATCTGTTATTCTCTGGACAACGATAAAAAACCAGAAGGCAGTACAGCGATTGAACAATAGGTCAAAGTCCCCAAAGCCTAGCACAGAGGATAGCTATAGAAAAACAATACCTTAATTCACAGAATTTACCTTTAATTTTATATTCAAATGCACAATGCTTAATCCAAGGAGGAAAAGTGGTATTGTGGAAAATGCCTCAGTATTCCAGTTGATACTGGATGCTGTCATTGAAAAGCACCCTAGCGGACCATGTATCAGTTGGGAAGACACGCCTACTGAATTCCAGCCCCACAAAGAGAATAGTGTACAGTGTACATAATGTGCACTGCCAGATTTTCATATCAAAATTAACTGAGAAGTAAAGAATCAGGAAAACAACACTGCTGTAAAAGACCAAAAAGGGGAGTCTTACCTGGACATCATTATTATCATCATCATCTTTTTCTTCTTCTTCATCTTTGCGTTGTGGTGAGCCTCTTAAAAACAGGCCATCCTCAGGACAAACTGGAAGGACACAGAGGAAAGATCAGTGCACTGGTGGTTGGTGACTGTGAGTCACTCAGGGAGCTTTGCTGGATGTGGTGTATGGAGGTGGTTGACAAGCGTGAACTGAGTTGATGCTGGGCTATTCCCCTGAGTGGGAGAGGGATGGCAGAGAAGGGGAGCAGGAAAGACACGAGACATGAAGGCGTCGGCCTCGTACTAGAGGCATCAGGCAGCAACACAAAACATACAACCCCAAATGGATCTAAAATGCATACTGAGGGTCAATGGAAGAGTCCTTTCTCCCTCTCAAATGTTTTGAAACTCTTCAAAACAAACAGCATTTTCTTAACATATTCAAGACCACTTCAGTACACTAGGATCTAATTATGCTGATACCACATTTAGCATCTGTTTTAAAGGATTTATTACTTGATTAAAAGCCAATTTTATGGTGAAATGGACTCAATTTTACCCAAATTACTCTATTCTACTAATCGCACATTCTTTTTCATAGAGATCATTTAAAAATTCAATGTTAAAATGCTGCAATTAAAAATAGTCATGATTTCCTCTTTGTAAGTCTTCTTCTGGAACCACTTCTACACACCCTTTTGGACCCCTGTGATCAGGCGCTCCAGCAGCTCCTGTGTGACTCTCCCTGAGGAGATTCCCTAAAAATCAGGCTTCCTTCAAACAGGCCAAGCTCACACAGCCTGCTCTACCTACACCAGTGAAGCTGAGAGACGTGACTCTGAACACTTTCTGCCATGAGGATAAGCTTCCAGGTTCAAATACACATTATCTACTGAAATGAGGAAATGTATACCAATAGAAATGAATGAATTCATGAAAAAATGTTCATGAGTACGGGGGTGATTTTTGGTTAACTAGCTTACGTAAAAATTATTTTTTTGGCTGAGCACTCTGGCTCACACCTGTAATTCCAGCAGTTTAGGAGGCTGAGGTGGGCGGATGACCTGATGTCAAGAGTTCACGACCAGCCTGGCCAACATGGTGAAACCCTGTCTCTACTAAAAATACAAAAAATTGGCCAGGCATGCTGGTGAGCACCTGTAATCCCAGCTACTCAGGAGGTTGAGGCAGGAGAATCCCTTGAATCTGGGAGGCAGAGGTTGCAGTGAACCAAGATCTCGCCATTGCACTCCAGCCTGGGCAAGAAGAGCGAAACTCCATCTCTCTCCATCTCTCTCTCTCTCTCTCTCTCTCTCTCTCTTCATATATATATATATATATATATATATATATATATATATGATGCCTATTCATTCAGACATACTAAATATTGGTATAAGGAATCATAAATTTTTATCAGTCATGTTAAATCTAACTTATCAGCTATCAACATGAAGATCCTAGGAAGTAAAGAAGGTACAAATAAGTGGAAAGGCATCCTGTATTCATGGATAGGAAGACCAAACCTGACTAACACACAATACTACACACATGATCTACAGACTCACGACAATTACTATCAAACTGGTAACAGCCATCTGTGCAGAAATGGAAAAGACAATCCTACTATTTTAATGAATTTTCTGTGCCTCAAGTAACCATGATGATGTTTAAAAAGAAATAGTGTTAGAGAATACACATTCATGAGATTGAAATCCACACATACAAAAAAATGCAGAAATTCAGACAGCATGGTTCTAGCGAGGGGGCACCCATAAGTTAAGTTTCACAGATATAGAGAGCCCAGAATTGAATGCACACATATACAGTAAACTGATCTTCAACAAAGGTGTCAAAAATACACAATGGGGAAAGGACAGCCTCTTCCACAAATGATGATAAAACTGCATATTCTCATTCAAATAAAGACATAGAATGCTGACAGTGTGCTCAAGGTTATGCTTCTCTCTCCATTTCCAAGACACTGGAGCTTTTGCAGTGAGCCCAGAGTGCATTTTCATTCTGTCCTTCATGTCCAGGAAGAGCTCTTGATACCAGAGGTAAGCAGGAAAAACAGACGAATGAGTGTGCTGCCAGGAAACCTAACAGTTTATAAGGTGAGGATTAATTTCTCCTATGCATCTGGGCACACCACAGAAAAATTTTGTCTCCAGCATTAAGTAACTGCCTGTGACAGAACTCTGTCCTAAACCAAAGGTTTTGAGATTTTGCAGTGGCAGAGGCAGAAAACAGCAGGTGTTTTAGAAAGATCATCTTTAAACGATAAAGTAAGAAGAGGTGATTGAAAACACAGGATACTCAAAAGCTCATAAACATGACACTTCTCACCATGATGACATTAAACTCCGAAAATAACAAAGTTCACTTATATTACCTTTTCTTTTTCTCTTTCTACACCCTCCCTAGCCCTGCCAAGTAGCAGGTATAACATGAAGGTTCCTGGAAATGCTGTTTTATTAGATCCCACCTGCAATCTTCTTACCTACCTGGAAAGGCATCCTCTTCCCTGCTGAGATTCTCCAGAATCCACTCTTTAGAGCCACCAACATCAGGATAAGTCAGTGAGAGGGGCACTCACTTCTCCTACTCCAGGTGAAGACACACTGGCTCACACAAAATCTCCTGGTTGGTCCTCTGGGTTCACACACATTTCTACAGCCCCTCTGCTCATAGCTATACGCTTACAAAATCATTTGCTCTCGCCGCACCCTCAATATTTTTACCCAGATTAAGGTTTCTATATGTTAAAGCCAGAAAGTTTGTTTCTCAGAAAGTGAGTTAGTTCAAGGTACGTACCCTGGTCAGACAATGGTAAAATCTGCAATGAGACAAAAGAAGATGCCATGAGGATTAGATCGATTCTGCTGCACCCCTTACACAGATCTGTTAGTCTCTTGATGACTTCACAAAACTACTTGCGAAACAGTGGTGAGTCAAGGTCAAAGGCCAAACATTCTAGCATAGAGGACACGTGTGGAAAAGACAAGAGCTTTTCCCACAGAATTTCTCTGAAGGTGATTTAAGTTGGTAAATGTACACGGCCTAATCCAAGGAGAAAAACTGGTGTGGAGGAAAATTCCTCTGCATTACAGTTGATGATGGATGCTGTCCTTCAAAACCATCCTAGTGTGTCATGTATTCGATGAAAAGAAACTCAGACTGAACTCCATTCTCACAAAGAGAATTGTGTATTGTGTATGTTGTACATAATGTGCCTTGTCATATTTTTATATCAAAATTAATTGAGAAGGAAAGAAATCAGGTGAAGGAAATAATGTATACAGTGGTCCATTTCTAACACAAAGTGTCTTGTACCGGTTTAGGTCAGCAAAGGACAGAAGAAATAGGATATGCCAGGCTCCTGCTTGGATGGGCAATGCCTGCTTGTTGGCCCCACCTCCTCCCCACTTAGTTGCCCTCACTTCAACCAAAGAAGATGAAGATAAAAGTTTACTAGACTGCAAAATAGCTCGCTTTGTCTGTTCTTATCAGCCTGCCCAGCTACAGCTGACTAGGACGGCAATGCATTGTGGGCTGCAACAAAATGCAGTAAGACAACCCTAGAAAAATACCTAAACCCCCTCCCCAAAAGTCAATAGGCAACACCTGGGAAGATTGTGACCCCATAGTACTCAGCCTATGAGGAACCAGGGGAGGGACCTGCACACTAGGGGATAAATTGCTTGTGGAAACTGTGCTGGGTGTGTCTGCCCATAAGATACTGGATCTTGAAACACTGTCATGAAAAGTCTCACTTTTGGCCAGGCAGGGTGGCTCACGCCTGTAATCCCAGCACTTTGGGAAGCTGAGGTGGGCAGATTACTGAGGTCAGGAGTTCGAGACCAGCCTGGCCAACATGCTGAAACACCATCTCTACTAAGAATACAAAAATTAGCTAGGCATGGGGACACATGCCTGTAATCCCAGCTACTCAGGAGGCTGAGGCAGGACAATTCATTGAGCCCAGGAGATGGAGCCGAGATTGCACCACTGCACTGCAGCCTGGACAACTGAACCAGACTCTTTCTTAAAAAAAAAAAAAAAAAGAAAAAGAAAAAGGAAAAAAAGGAAAGAAAATCTCACTTTTTCTATTTTTCAGCTCCCTGAGTCCATTCTTTGGGTTTGGACTAGTGAATTTGTTTCTCACATCAGAAAACCAACATTTTCTTAGAAGACAAAGAAAGGTGGTCTTACCTCAATGATATAATCATCCTCATCCCAATCATCAGCCTCACTTGGTGGTGGGCATACTAAATTCAGGTTTTCCTCAGAAGAACCTGGAAGGACACAGAGGAAATATCAGTGTCCTGGGTGTTTGTGACTGTGAGTTACTCAGGGAGCTTTGCTGGATGTGGTATATGGAGGTGGTTGATTAACAACCATGGACTGAGTTGATGCTGGGCTATTCCCCTAGTGGAAGAGGGATGGCAGACAAGGGGAGCAGGAAAGACATGAGACATGGAGGCCTTGGCCTTGTACTAGAGGCATCATGCAGCAACACAAAACAGTCAACCCCAAATGGAACTAAAGCACACACGAAGGATCAATGGAAGAGTGCCTTCCTCCCTCTCAAATGTTTTGAAACTCTTCTAAACAAACAGCTTTTTTTTTTTTTTTTTTTGAGACGGAGTCTCACTCTGTCGCCCAGGCTGGAGTGCAGTCGTGCGATCTCCACTCACTGCAAGCTCTGCCTCCCGGGTTCATGCCATTCTCCTGCCTCAGCCTCCCGAGTAGCTGGGACTACAGGCGTCCGCCACCATGCCTGGCTAATTTTTTGTATTTTTAGTAGAGACAGGGTTTCACCATGTTAGCCAGGATGGTCTGGATCTCCTGACCTCGTGATTCACCCACCTTGGCCTCCCAAAGTGCTGGGATTATAGGCGTGAGCCAATAGAGATCATTAAAAAAATATATTAAAATGCTACAATTTAAAATAGTCATGATTTCCTCCTTGTAAGTCTTCTTCTGGAACCATGGTGTGTGCACACAACCTTTTGGACCCCTGTGATCAGGGGCTTCAGCAACTCTGTGTCATTCTCCCTCAGGAGATTCCCTGAAGATCAGGCTTCATTCAAACAGGCCAAGCTCACCGAGCCTGTGCAACCTACACCAGTGAAGCTGAGAGACGTGACTCTGAACACTTTCTGCCATTAGGATAAGTTTCCAGGTTCAAATATACATGATCTACTGAAATAAGGAAATGTATACTAATGAACAAATTCATGAAAAAAGGTCCATGAGTACGGGGCTGATTTTTGGTTAATGAGTTTACATAAATTTTTTTATTTGATGCCTATTCATTCAGACATACAAAATATTGGTATAACAAATCACAAATTTGGTCGGGAGGGGTGACTCATGCCTGTAATCCCAGCATGTTGGGAGGCTGAGGCAGGCGGATCACAAGGTCAAGAGATTGAGACCATCCTGGCCAACATGGTAAAACCACGCCTCTACTAGAAATACAAAAATCAGCTGGGTGTGGTGGCATGCACTTGTAGTCTCAGCTACTCGGGATGATAAGGCAGGAGAATCACTTGAACCCTGGAGGTGGAGGTGGCAGTGAGCGGAGATCACATCACTGCACCCCAGTATAGTGACAGAGTGAGACTCCGTCTCAAAAAAAAAAAAAGAAAGAAAAAAAAAGAACTCACAAATTTATATCGATCATGTTAAATCTAACTAATCAGCTGTCAACATAAAGATTCTAGTAAGTAAAGAACATACAAATAAGTTGAAAGGCTTCCCATATTCATGGATTCGGAAGAGTAAACCTAACACATAATACACACATGATCTACAGACTCACAAAAACTGCTAGCAAACTGACAACAGCCATCTGTGCAGAAATGGAAAATTAATCCTAAGACTTTAATGGATTTTTATGTGCCTCAAATAACCATGGTAACGTTGAAAAAGAATTGTGTTGGAGGAAGCACATTCATGAGACTGAAATCTACAAAAAAACAGAGAAATTCAGACAGCCTGCTTCTAGTGTGGGGGCACACATAAGTATCACAGATATAGAATCGAAAGCCCAGAATTAAATGCACACACAGAGTCAGCTGATCTTCAACAAAGATGCCAAGAATACACAATGGGGAAAGGAAAGCCTCTTCCACAAATGATGGTAAAACTGCATATTCTCATTCACATGAAGAAATGGAATGCTGACAGTGTGCTCAAGGTTCTGCTTCTTCCTGCATTTCCAAGACACTGGAGCTTTTGCAGTGAGCCCAGAGTGAATTTTCATTCTGTCCTCCATGCCCAGGGAGATGGCTTGATACCAGAGATAAACAGCAAGGACAGACAAAGGAATGTGTGGTCATGAAACTTAACAGTTCGTAAGGTGAGGATCAATTTCTCCTAAGCATTTGGGCACACTGCAGAATAATTTTATATCCAGGATGAAGTAACTGCCTGTGACAGAACTGTGTCCCAAACCACAGGCTCTGAGATTTTGTAGTGGCAGAGATAGAAAAGAGCAGGTATTCTCAGAAAAATCATCTTTAAATAATAAAGCAAGAAGAGGTGATCGAAAACACAGGATACGCAAAAGCCCATAAACATAACACTTCCCACCATGATGACATTAAACTTTGAAAAGAACAAATGTGGCTTATATTTACTATTTTTTTTTTCTCTTTCTACACCCTACCTCAGCCTCCCAAGCAGCAGGCATAACATGAAGGTTCCTGGAAACGCTGTTTTATTAGACCCCACCTGAAACCTTACCTACCTGGAAAGGCATCCTCTTCCCTGATGAGATTCTCCAGAATCCACTCTTTAGAGCCACCAACATCAGGATAAGTCAGTGAGAGCTGCACTCACGTCTCCTACTCCAGGTGAAGACACACTGACTCACACAAAATCTCCTGGTTGGTCCTCTGGGTTCACACACATTTCTACAGCCCCTCTACTCACAGCTATACACTTGCAAAATCATTTGCTCTCACCAGATCCCCAATAGTTTTTAACAGGAACCCAGATTAAGGTTTCTGTATATTAAAGCCAACAAGTTTGTTTCTCAGAAAGTGAGTTAATTCAAGGTACGTACCCTGGATGGGTGATGGTAAAATCTGCAACGAGAGAAAAGAAGATGCTATGAGGATCAGATCAATTCTGCTACACCCCTTACACAGACCTGTTAGTTTCTTCATGACTTCAGAAAACTAGTTGTAAAACAGTGGCTGAGTCCATGTCAAAGACAAAGCATTCTAGCATAGAGGACATGTGTGGAAAATACAAGAGCTTTTCCCACAGAATTTCTTTGAAGTTGATTTAGATTGGTAAATTAGTACAATGCGTAATTCAAAGAGGAAAACCGGCATGGAGGAAAATCCCTCTGCATTACAGTTGATGATGGATGCTGTCATTTAAAAACATCCTAGTGTGTCATGTATTAGATGGGAAGACGTTCCCACTGAACTCCACCCCAAGAAGGACTATTGTGTATGTTGTACATAATGTGCCTCATCATATTCTTATATCAACATTAATTGAGAAGGAAAGAAATCAGGTGAAGGAAATAATATATACAGTGGTCCATCTTTAAGGCAAAGTGCCTTGAACATGTTTAGGTCAGCAAAGGACAGAAGAAACACTAGGCTCCTGGTTGGATAGGCAATGCCGGCTTGTTGGCTCCCCGCTTCCACCCCACTTAGTTGTCCTCATTTTAACAAAGAAGTTTAGTCTAAGTTGAAAGTTTACTAGCCTGCAAAATAGCTCTTTGTCTGTTCTTATCAGCCTACCCAGCTACTTAGGTCATAAGTCAAATACTTGAAGAGCCCCTGAGCTGACTAGGATAGCAATGCATTGTGGATTGCTTGTTGAAACTGTGCTGGGTGTGTCTGCCCATCAGACACCCGATCTTGCAAGACCATCATTAAAAGTCTCACTTTCTCTGTTCTGCAGGCCTCTGAGTCCATTCTTTGGGTGTGGATGGGTGAGTTTGTTTCTCACATCAGGAAAGTTGCATTTCCTTAGAAGGCAAAGAAAGGGGGTCTTACCTGGGCATCATCATTGTCTTCCTCATTTGGTGGTAGAGATTTTAAACTCAGGCTGTCCTCAGGGGAACCTAAAAGGACACAGAGTTAATGTCAGTGCCCTGGTGGTTGGAGACTGTGAGTCCCTCAGGGAGCTTTGCTGGATGCGGCATATGGAGCGTGGGACTGAAGATTCTGAGACCATCTCAGAGAAACAACTATGTTCAAGTGGTGAGCATGAGGGAGTCTCACCAGATACCTCGCATCTTAGTCAGTGCCTGGACCTAATAAGACTCTGCATTCCCAAGTCAAAGATCAAGGCTTTGATGTTTGCTGTGACATAGACAAGACAAACTGGTCTTTTGGAAAGATAACCATTAAACACCAGAGCAAGAAAAAAATGGTTACAAACACAGCACACAAAGCCCATGGACATAAATTGTCTCATCTCTATCTTATTAAAATACAAAAGGAACATGTCAGGCTTCTACACATATTTCCTTTCGTTCTGTCTTCATTGCTCTTTTCCTACATTCCAAAGCAACAGGTGTCACCCAACTGCTCCCAGAGATCCTCCTAGAGTATCATTCTCTACCTGCAGATCTGCCTCACTGCAGCTGCCCTCATGGATGGGGTCCACTGGCCAATTTTTAGAGACAAAAACTCCACAAGAACTTATTCCAGAGAGCAACTCGCCCACCCTCCTACTCCAGGTGAGGCCACACTGGGTTACAAGAGATCACTCTCCCCTTCCCTTGGTGTTGTCAGACTCTCCCTGGGCTCTGGGGAGTCAGAGGTCTCTAGAAACGCATCGCTCACACTTGCCAACTTTCGAGTGAGAAAGAGGAACTGAAGGAACCACGTTTCAACTTTTTTCTTCCACTGGCCCATTATAGGTCTCACCTCCAATCTCACAGCCCTGAGATTCCCACTTTGATGTGCATGCTTTGAGTTAGAGGAGTTCAATAATCGATCCCTCAGCCAGGCTCACAGCAGATGTGAAAGAGCATTCTGTTGGGCCATTGCACGGTGGCTGTTGTGATGAGGTTCTTTTTTTTTTTTTTTTAATTTTTTGAGACAGAGGATCACTCTTGCTGCCCAGGCTGGAGTACAATGGCATGAACTCGGCTCACTGCAACCTCTGCCTCCCGGGTTCAGCTCCTGCCTGTTTCCCGAGTAGCTGGGATTACAGGCACGCACCACCACACACAGCTAATTTTTGCATTTTTAGTAGAGATGGGGTTTCACCATGTTGGCCAGGCTGGTCTCACCATGTTGGCCAGGCTGGTGGGTGATTCACCCGCCCTGGCCTCCCAAAGTGCTGGAATTACAGGTGTGAGCCACCATGCCAGGCCCTGAACTTTTACTTGTAAATACTTAAATGTATTTAAATATAAAGAGGCACATATATGACTGATAACCACACTAGACAGCACAGGAAATCCAGACACGAGGAAGACATGACCCCCTCCCCTGGTGTTTTCTTGTGAAATGGTTTACAGCTGTGCTCCCACCATACATTTATGGTTACTTCCTGGGCAAGTGCACAAGGGCCAGTCACTGTGTGGGGCTGGGGATATGACAACGAGGACAACATCCAGATCCAGAGGGATTCCAGCAGGGGGCGCATGTGCACACAGGGGAAGACCGTGCCCCTGCACTCCCTGTCTAGACACCATCAGAGAAGCAGGAGCCGAGGGGCAGGGGCACCTCACTGTCCTCAGGAGCTCAACCTCATCTCCAGGGACCCTGACTCAGAAGCTGGGGCAGGCTCCAGGATTGGTGTAGGGCTCAACAGGCTGGACAGGTTGAGAAGGGAACATTTCCACATGTGCGCTAGATCCCAGCCCAGGGCTGACCTAGAACTCACCCCAGGGATGTGTTCACTACAATGCCCATGAGGCCTAACATGTTCTCCCCAGGACTGAGCTCTGGGATAAGGACTAATGAGGAAGACACAGTCACTGCCCTGGCAGGAAACACCCATAGCCAGGGTTCCTCTATCCACCCTGTGGGAAGATACAACGCAGACAGAGTTTGACACTGAAGATTCCAAACATTCTATAAAATAACTGGATACTGACGTGTTCTGGATTCCACAGAAGAGTTGCAAGGATGAGCTGGACTCTGGAATCAGTCCCCATCCCTTTGCTGAGCTCCTGATGCACTGGAACTCATGTCCTTCCCCACCTCCCCTGCTACTCAGGAGTGCTGCAGCTACAGGCCCAGTGCTAGGGGGTCTGTCCAGTTGAAACACATGTCAGCCAGGCATGGTGGCTCACACCTGTAATCCCACCACTTTGGTAGGCCGAGGTGGGCGCATCTCCTGATATCAGGAGTTCGAGACCAGCCTGGCCAACATGGAGAAACCCCGTCTGTACTACAAATACAAAACTTAGCTGGGCATGGTGTCGTATCCCTGTAATTCCAGCTACTCAGCAGGCTGAGGCAGGAGAATCACTTGAACTTGGGAGGTGGACGTTGCAGTGAACTGAGATCACACCACTGCACTACCCCAGCCTGGGCAACAGAGTGAGATTCCATCTCAAAAAAAAAAAAAAACAAAAAACAAAAAACCACACATTTGTGGCCAGACAACCCTTGGCCAATAGTGTCTCCTCAAGGACCATTCCTCAAGTGGCTTCCAGAAGAGCTGAAAAAGAAAAACTCATCTGTCCCAGCCCCAGGAAGATCAGGCCTGGGACCTGTCTGTGTCTGTCCTGACTTGTGTCCTGTCTGCTCTGTGTCAGAGAAGTGGGGACCTGATTCCTGTTCTGCCTCCTCACCAATTTCTGCTGGTGTCACTGTCATCATCGCACAGAGATGGAGGAGACAAGAGAAAGCAATGAAACTCCATTCTTGAGGCATTCAGGATGACGTCCACACCATGCTCTCGGCAGACAGGAAGACCAGGTCCTGCTCACTCCTACTCAGAAGGGGTCTCAGAGATATGTGTACTAACCCTGTTAGACATTTCTCCTCTGCTCTTCTCTTTTTTCCTTTTTTTTGAGATGGAGTCTTGCTCAGTCACTCCGGCTGGAGTGCAATGGCTGGATCTCAGCTGACTGCAACCTCCGCCTCTTGGGTTCAAGTGATTCTCCGTGTCAGTCTCCCGAGTAGCTGGGATTACAGGTACCCGCCACTACACCCAGCTAATTTTTGTATTTTCAGTAGAGACAGGGTTTCACCAGGTTGGTCAGGCTGGTCTCGAACTCCTAACCTCAGGCAATCCACTCACCTCGACCTCCCAAAGTGCTGGGATGACAGGTATGAGCCACCACACCCAGCCCATGCCTTCCGTTTCTTTACACTGTGTGTGCGTCCACTGAGTCAGTGGCTGCTGATGCTCGCCCCAGCCCCCGACAGTGGGACAGTCCACCATGGGGATCAGTACCTGGTGAGTGCTGAGCCTCACTCACCTAGCTGTGCAGGAGGTCTCCAGTGAGGGTGATGGGCACCAGGCTAATGATAATGTTGTCCTGAGTTCTGATGTGGCACTGGCCCTTGTCTGTCTGCTATGGATTGGAGCATCTCTTTTTATTTATTTCTTTATTTTTCTGAGACAGAGTCTCACTCTGTCACCCAGGCTGGAGTGTACAGTGGCTCAATCTCGGCTCACTGCAACCTCCACCTCCCAGGTTCAAGTGATTCTCCAGCCTCAGCCTCCCAAATAGCTGGGATTACAGGTATGGGCCACTATGCCCGCTAATTTTTGTATTTTTAGTAGAGACAGGCTTTCACCACATTAGCCAGGCTGGTCTCAAACTCCTGACCTCAGGTGATCTGCTGCCTTGGCCTCCCAAAGTGCTGGGATTACAGGCATGAACCACCATGCCCAGCCATGGATTGGAGCATTTCTAAGGCTTGAGGTAGTCCTGTTATTAAATACAATGCAGTATCTTCCTGATCTTCCCTGCTTTGACCAAGTGTTGAGGAATGAGCCCAGCACTGACAGATGTTGACCTGCACTGTTCTATGTGAACCCTTACACTTCTCAGAATCTGTGAACTGACCAGAAGCCTGTGGGCTTTCTATGTGTATTTCACAGTAATGTCCATGCCAACGTCTGTTGTTCCGTGTACCTTTGCTACCCAGGGTTATGTGACCACTGGGGCCCCATTTGATGATGGGCAAAGTTTGGCAGCTTATAGGTCACACAGTTCCAGGTGTACACATAGGTGCTGGAGCTCCCTGGTGTGGGGTCCTGTCACCAAGCCTGAGTGATGACACAGTTGAGTAATACAGACCATCAACACTGGGACCCATTTCTGGGTTCACTTTTGCCTCCTCCATTCAGGAGGTCAGAATCTGGGTTCACTCTCTCCAGCTAAGGAGTAGGGATATTAAACTGACCTTCAGGTACAGCTGTGGTGAGGGAGGAAAGAGGTCATTTATGTAAAGTGTATGGTGGTGCTGAAGTTTTGCTTCCTTTTTATTAGAAAACATGACTCTGGAGGCTGAGGTGAGAGGACCACATAGGCCAGGAATTCAAGAAAAGTGACACTTGTACTGTGCTGGGCATGCAGGGCCACAATTTTTGGGGAAAACACACATTTACAAACACACTCACACTCACTACGCATGGATTCACCCCTAGCTACCTCCCAACCCTCCTGCACACAAACCCACACCATTTAAATGATACGGCTGTTTCCAGGGTCTCCAGTGGATGATCACAGTTCTTCACTGAGCCATCTGCTCCTCACACTGCACTCCAGGTCCTCACTCTTATCAAGAACCGGAAGCCAGGCAGGCTCTCCAGACAAAAACAGGCAAGAGAGTCCCCCGCGACCCATCACTTAGATTTGTCATCAGCAAGGGAGTGGTCTTAGAATACGAATAGTGTTAGAGAGGGGAACAACACACACTGGGGCCTGTCAGGGGACAGGTGAAGGGAGAGCATCTGGATAAACAGCTAATGCACGCAGGGCTTCATACCTAGGTGATGGACTGACAGGTGCAGCAAACCACCATGACACACTTTTACCCATGTAACAAAACTGTACATCCTGCACATGTATCTCAGAACTTTAAAAAAAATTAAATTACAGGCTGGGCGTGGTGGTTCATGCCTGTAATCCCAGCACTTTGGGAGGCTGAGGTGGGTGGATCACGAGGTCAGGAGATAGACACCGTCCTGGCTACCATGGTGAAACCCCATCTCTACTAAAAATACAAAAAATTAGCCGGGTGTGGTGGCTTGCACGTGTAGTCCCTACTCCGGAGGCTGAGGCTAGAGAATTGCTTGAACCCAGGAGGCAGAGGTTGCAGTGAGCTCAGTGAGCTGAGATCGCACCACTGCACTCCAGCCTGAGCAACAGAGTGAGATTCCATATAAATAAATAAATAATTAATTAAAAAAAAATAATAAGCTACCTTAAGGGATGGAAGAAACAATCTGACTCTTACCTGGTTCCTCCATTTAGGTACCAAACTGATTGGATAGGTAAGGCTAGAGAATGGGACGGGGACTCCAAAATTGGGGTTTTGAAATTTCATTGAGAAGAGGGCTCTCCCTTTTCTAGATCAAAAAAGCCTCAACGACAAACACAAGAGGCAGAGTCAGCCTTTGCCCCCATGTCCCAGGTCTGGGAAAGCTGGCTATGGGCAGGAGGGAGCTGGAAGCTGAGGATGTCTCTGGGGATGAGGCTATGGGAAGGGGGTGAGGGTGGCCACAGTGTGCCAGAGAGTAAACGACATCCATGGCTTTTTTACCTGTGAGCATCTTTTGGTTGCTGATGTGCCGCAGGTCGTGGCCCTCCGTGGCTCCCACATCCAGCTTGCCAGGCTCTACAGTAGTGGATTCTGATGTTGCAGCAGCCACAGCCTCGTAAGTATCAGATTCATAACAGGGTTCCTCCTCTCCCCTGCAGCAGCCACAGCTGGAGTCGATACAACAGGTCAGTATACACCCCATCGGGCACCCACACTCCACTCCTGCCTGAGCCTTTGGTGAAACTGAAACGGTGCTGCCCTAGTAGCCAAACTACTGAGGCTGGCACAGCACTTGTAGAAGCAGCCTGATCCCAGGCAGATCTGGGGCCTCAGCCCTTACTCTGAAAACACTTCCTAAAGTGGCTGGTCTATGATGTCGGGGACCTGCTGTCTTCTCTGAAAAATAAATGAACACAACAAGCGCCGAGAGGCACAAAAACTGCTGGGACACAGCACAGTCGGAGCTCCTCCTCCTCCTCCTCCTAGCTACCGACTGAGGGCTGCTGGCCCTGGCTGATGCCTATAACCCACAAAGGTTCCTATGTCACCTGGTTACCAGGAAACAGCCAGGCCAGGCTAGTGACTCACAATGTCCAGCCCGACAGCCCCACCCAAGGCCTCACAATGCCCATCCCTGCTGCTGCCCATCTTGTGGCCACCCTGCCCCTCTGTGCTGACTGCACTACTCAGGCTTTTATTCACCCTGGGCTGCCTGAGCTTTCCAGTCCTGAGAAAAGTGCAGGGTGGTTGGAAGTCACCCTTGGCGAGAAACTCAATAGAAAACCCTGGTACAGCCGGGAGCGGTGGCTCACGCCTGTAATCCTAGCACTTTGGGAGGCTGAGGGGGGTGGATCACCCGAGGTCAGGAATTCGAGACCAGCCTGGCCAACATGGTGAAATCCCACCTCTACTAAAAATACAAAACATTAGCTCAGCGTGGTGGCAGGCACCTGCTATCCTAGCTACACAGGAGGCTGAGGCAGGATAACTGCTTGAATCCAGGAGGCAGAGGTTGCACAGTGAGCCAAGATTGCACCATTGCACTCCAGCCTGGGTGACAAGGGTGTCTCAGAAAAAAAAAAAAAAGAAAGAAAGAAAACCTCAGTTACTAAAGTCATTTCCACCAGCATTTCTGTTTTTCAGAGTCTGACAGCTTTCATTTGCTCACCAAATGTAGTTATACACAAATTTTTGACTGCTTTTCTAACTAAATGCTTCTCTCCTGTCCTACAAGAGTTAGTTCTTGTCTGCAACTTGACCATAGCTACGCCCAGGGCCCTGGTCCCACTCTCAATAGAGAGTCATGGCTGTGTATCCTGAATGAAAGCCTGGGACACATCACACTTTCCCCTCCTGGTCTATAAAATAGGGACTGAACACATCCTTCTCAGCTCTGTAATGCTAGGACCTACCAACTCCCTTTTCTCCCTCTGTTTCTTCTTTCCATGACAGGGGTATTCAGATATTTCTTTTATTTACTTATTTATTATCTTTTGAGATGGAGTGTTGCTCTGTCCACCAGGCTAGAGTGCAGTGGAACGATCTCGGCTCACTGCAACCTCCACCTCCCAGATTCAAGCGATTCTCCAGCACCAGCCTCCCGAGTATCTGGGACTACAGGCACACGCCATCACATCTGGCTAATTTTTGTATTTTTAGTAGGGACGAGAGTTTCACCATGTTGGTTAGGCTGGTCTTGAACGCCTGACCTCAGGTGATCTGCCTGTCTCGGCCTCCCAAAGTGCTGGGATTACAGGCATGAGCCATCACGCCCGGCCTCAGATATTTCTTTCACTAACAAATCACAAAGCAATAGTTTCTTATACAAAATTGAGAACCCCACAGTGCGGTACCATTGGCCTCATAGGATAAAGATGAACAGTCAACATCTGGCAAGTATTATGTGCCTGACAGTGTTCCAACTGTGGCATACTCATTTAACCCTCAGAAACAGTCCCATTGTACACATTTTACAGCATAAATCTAGATGGAAAAATCAAGTAACTTCCCCAAGGTCCCATGACTGCTCAGTGAGTTTAGGCGGATGAGCAAACAAAGGCTTAGAGTTCAGTTGTCTGAGGCTCCACTGCTGGACAGTGGATGAACCTGGAATACAAAGGCTCATTCACTGTCCAGTACTAGAGTTGAAGTAGAGTTTAAATTTTGTTCCGGAAACATGAGAGTCACTGAACCACACAGAGGTGAGGAGTCTCTATCAGATGTGTTTGCAGTGAGGTCTCTCTGCACAATAGAGAAGGGCTGACAGAAGCAATGGGACCAATTAAGAGACATTATGTTGGGAGGCCAAGGTGGCTGGATCATTTGAGGTCAGGAGTTCGAGACCAGCTTGGCCAACATGGTGAAACCCCATTTCTATTAAAATTACAAAAATTAGCTGGGCGCAATGATAGGCGCCTATAATCCCAGCTACTTGGGAGACTGAGACAGGAGAATCGTTTAAACCTGATGGGCAGAGTTTGCAATGAGCCGAGATAGTGCCACTGCACTCTAGCCTGGACAACAGCGTGAAACTCCGTCTCAAAAAAAAAAAAAGATAGTTTTGGACTCTTAAGTATTGCATTGAAATGGAGCTCTCTGGTAGAAAATTGGATAGAAACCTCTGTAGGCTAAATCCATTCTGTGACATCACAACTCATGTTTTAAAAAATACACATACAAAGTCAAATCATTAAGGAAATATCCTAAAATTTACATATTAAAATATAAGAACTTTTTAGTTATTACTTTCTTAGAGCAACTTTGAATTTACAATCGTAGTGAATGAGGTGACATGTCAAATAAAGCTGTTACATAAAAACAACATTTAAATTTTATTGTCATCAGAGCATAGAGAAGACAATTGAAGCCATGGGTATGGCAGGGATTGCTTTAAAAAGCTGTGCCTCATAAGAGGAGTTGGAAAGAAAGGAGACTTGGGGGCCGGGCGCGGTGGCTCATGCCTGTAATCCCAACACTTTGGGAGGCCTAAGTGGGAGGATCACCGGAGGTCCGGAGGAGTTCAAGACCAGCCTGGCCAACATGGCCAAACGCCATCTCTACTAAAAATACAAAAATAAGCCAGGTGTGGTGGTGGGCACCTGCAATCCCAGCAATTCAGGAGGCTGAGGCAGGAGAATTGCTTGAACCCAGAAGATGGACATTGCAGTGAGCCGAGATGGTGCCACTGCACTCCAGCCTGGGTGACAGAGCAAGACTCTGTCTAAAAAACAAAATAGAAAAGAAAGAAGACTTGGGGAATAGGGAGGTTTAAGTGGCATTAAGTAAAGCCTGCAAATGTGAGCAGTGACAGTCAGGGTACCTGAGTGTTCATCAGAAATGGCTGATCGGGTGAGTCTCATCACAATGGAGATGGCGTCTGCTTCTCATTTCTCTAATGGCCGTACCTAGCACAGTAGCTGGTCAACAGGGACTCAATACCTAATACCTCAATGAACACAGTAAAATTCTGCCAGTTCAAAAACATGTCCACACTCACCAACTTCCCTCATGGAGTTTTACTTCTTTCACTTACTGTAATGTTTTGAAGTTCATCCCTCCTGTGGCCTGTATCCATAGTTTCTTTTCTTTGTATAACTGAGCAACACTCCACTGTATGCACAGACCACATGGGTCTATCCATTCTCTAGCTGACGGACACTTGGGTTGTTTCCAGTTGTTGCCTGTAGTGAATGAGGCTGCTGAGAACATTTATGTATATGTCTTTTTGAACACATGCTTTCATTTCTTCTAGATAAAATTCCTAGGGCTGGAATTGCTAGGTCAAATAGCTAGTTTATGCTTAGCTTCTTTTTTTGCCTTTCTTATTCATAGAAAATATTATACCGATACATAATATTGGACATTTCTATGAGGCGCATGTGCTGTTTGGTTCCGTGCATCCAACATGTCATCATCAAGTCAGGATATTTGGGATATGGCCTTGAGTATTTATCATTTATATGTGTTGAGTGTATTTGAAGTTCTCTCTTGTAGCTATTTTGAAATATACAATACATTATTGCTAACCATAGTCACCCTACTCTGCTATCCAACATTAGAACACATCCCTTGCATCTAACTGTGTGTATTCATTAACCAACCTCTCTGCATTCCCTTCTTATACCCGGAGGAGAGAGGAAGGAGGGAAAGGAGCTGTGGGTGGCTGAATTAGGCCCAGGGATGGCTGTGCCCCAGTCCCGGGACCTGTCCATGTGCTGTGTTGTGTGGCCACAGGGACTTTACAGATGTGAGGATGTGAAGGCGCCTGAGGTGGAAGATGAATCTGGGTTATCTGGGTGGGTCCAAGGTGGGGTCTTTATAAGCGAAAGAAGGAGGCAGGAGGGAGGGAGGGAGGGAGGGAGGGGGGGAGAGAGAGAGAGAGAGAGAGAAGTGGGAGAGAGATTTGAAGATGCTGAGCTCTGGCTGTGAAGTTGGAGGAAGGTGCCAGGACCCCAGGGCATCCTCTAGAAGCTGGAAAAATCCTGGAAATGGATTCTCCACAGAGCCCTCAGAAGGAGCCTGGCCCGGCTGGCACCCTGATTTTAGCACTCTGGGATTTATTTTGGACATCTGACTCCAGACCAGGGAATCAATGTGTGATGTTTTAAGCCTCTAAATTAGGGGTCATTTGTGACAGCAGCAGCCACAGCAAAGTCAGACAGGAGCCATGGGAGAGACTCCCTGGGATGCCCCGAGGGTCCCTCCCTGGCCCCACCCACAGAAACACAGGCCTGACCACTGCTGGTGCCTCCACCCCTCTAACACCCCGCTCAGTAGGAACCATGCAGGAGGGGCTGGGTGTGGCTGGGCCATGTTCTCTCCCCTCACACCTTCTTCTCAGAGAGCAGCTGGAGCCCCAGACCCAGGGAGCCTCCCAGAGAAATTCCCAACACAGGACGTGGTTTTCCACCTGAGGTTCAGGATCCAATGGAGAAGTGCTTCCCAAAAATGATGCTTCCTCCAAAGATGGCCAGTGACTTTCTGTACCAAGCATCTGAGAAAATCTCCATGTCCTAGAGCTGCCAGGCAGTCACCTGTGCACATGTCGGAGCCCAAATCCCATCAACAGTGAGGCCTTGGGTAAAACATATCCCCACTTTTAATTATGATGAGCTGCCTGGCCTCAGCACTGAGAACACCAATTTCTCTACAGCAGACTTGTTTAATCTCTTAGAAATGATGGAGCACACTAGCCTGAACAACTGGTGAAACGCTGTCTGTAATAAAAATACAAAAATTAGCCAGGCATTGTGGCATGTACCTGTAATCCCAGCTACTCAGGAGGCAGAGGCAGGAGAACCGGTTGAACCTGGGAGGCAGAGGTTATGGTGAGCCGAGATTGTGCCATTGCACTCCAGCCTAGGCAACAGAACAAGACTCCATTTAAAAAAAAAAGAAAGAATGGAGCATCAATTACCCTTCTTGCACTGGTTCCTGGGGGACTCGGAGCCTATCTTTTGCAAGTGTCCTGAGCCTCTTGCAAGCCTTTCATGAGTTTCCTTCCCGGCTTCCTCCTATTTTTCTCACACCTTTGAACTTGCTGTCAGGTGAAAAATCAAGGTGGGCCCAAAACTTAAGAGCTCATGAATTTGGTGGTGTTGGAGTGTCCTGGACAGTCCAACCCTCGGGGCTGGGGAGTTGGGCAGAGAGGAAGGAGGGCATTCCAGGGGACAGGGCCAGAAGCAGAGGGACTCCAGGTCCAGAGTAGGATTTCCAGGCTGAGGAAAGACAGGCTGTGGGTGGGTAGAGGGTCCAGACCAGGACAGGGACAGAGGGTGTATCCAGGACAGAGGGTGTATCAGCCACAAATAGCTCCCTCCAGAAAACAGGCAGCGAGTTGGGGGTTGGGCTGTAAGGAGGAAGGGGAGGAGGGAGAGAATGGAGGGACTGGTGTTCAGTGAGCCGACTCCTCCTATCCTGGCCTATTTCCCCAGGGTCACCCCTGGGAGGCTGTGATCCTCCCCTCCAGGTTACTTTCCCACTGGTGCCAGGATTCCCCCAACGCCACACTGAGAGCCCAGGAGAAGCATCAAATTGTATGAGAGAGATGAAGAGAGGGAGCAGGATTTCTGGTTGACGAAGGATATTTATTGAGGGTTTACTGGGTACAGGGAGAAGGGCTAGATGGCTTGGGATGCAGAGAGACCCCTCCCCTGGGATCCTGCAGCTCCAGGCCCCTGTGGCTGGGGTGAGGGTTGGGAACCTACGAACATTCTGCAGGGGTCACTGTCTTCTCCACGGTGCTCCCTTCATGTGTGACCTGGCAGCTGTAGCTTCTGCGGGACCTCCACTGCTCGGGAGTCAGGCTCAGGTAGCTGCTGGCTGCGTACTTCTTGCTGTTTGGAGGGCGTGGTCATCTCCATGCCCTGGGTGATGGGGGTACCATCTGCCTTCCAGGTCACCATCAAGATTCCCGGATATAAGTCACTCTTGTGACACACCAGCATGGCCTTGTTGGCTTGGAGCTCCTCAAAGGATGGCGGGAACAGAGTGACCGAGGGGGTGGCCTTGGGCTGACCTGTGTGGACAGAGGAGGGGTGAGAGATGGCAGAGGGAGAGTGGGGTGTTGTGGAGCGCCTCTCTCTGTCTAAAGTCTCTGGGAGGGTTCATGGTGTGGCCGTCTGGTCCACCCAGGGCCTCTCCCTCCCTCTTCATTCCCTCCTTTCCACTGGAGCCCTCTGGAGAGCAGACAGCCCTGCACCTTCCTAGGGGCCTTCCCAAGTCACCTTTCCCAGGCGTCCTGGCCCAGTCATTTCCTCTGCAGCCTCGGTTTCCCCATGTCCAGGGCAGGCTGTGCTCCCTCCTTCCTGGTTTCTGGAGTCTGAGTTTGGAATCTAAGTATCTCTCCCACAGCACACAAAACCGTCCTGGCAGGGTGTGGGGAGGCCCAAGCCTGGCATGGCCTGGAGCTTCCTGTCCCCGGGAACACCAGGCTATGTCCCAACCTGACCCACTCAGCTCTCCTGGTGAAGCAGGGGCTCTACTCAGACAAACCCTGGGGCTCTGCCGTCGCCCCTGTCCCCACCAGCCCGACCACAGGACTCTTCACATTGGCTGGGTTCTTGGGGCTGCTCCCCCTGACTTCGGGGCACCGCAGCCCCCATGCCCACCCCAGCAGCCTCTGATGCCCCTGGACTTCACCTGGTGGCCATGGAGTTCTCTGTACCCCTGTTTCCTCCCCGCTAGTCACCTTCTAAGGTGCCCTTCCTCAAATGAAGGCGGGAGGTCGACCCGTGAAGAGAGACCGGGCCCCAGAGGTGACGGGGCTCCAGGGACAGACACATCTCTGCCCTAAGAGACCCTCTCCCTTCTTGTGACTGTCCTGGGAGAGCTGGGATCTTCGACCTCACCCAGTCTCACCTATCTCTCTGTGTCCCCATGTCCTCACGACCCAGCATAGGCCACAGAGCTGCAGCCTAGACCCAGAACCCTCTCTGTGCCCTCCATTGGGACTCCCCTTGGAGTAACCCCTGTGTCCCCAGGCCCCTGGGTAGCCCTCCCAGGCTGGATGGGCATCCCGCCTCAGCCTAGACCCTGGAGTCCCAGTGACTGTCTCTAAGGCTACTGCAGGGCCCCTCATCAGAACCGGCCTCTGTCCTTCACTCAGACTTGTGCCCTGGGAGAGGGGAGGAGCCCTGACCCTGCCCAATTCCAACACAGGCCCCAGGACCAGGCTGTCCCGCTGCTGGAACCTGAAGGCGGCTGCTCCCACTGTGGGAGCCCTTCCTGCCAGTTACCCTGAGACCAGCCCGCTTCCCCCAGACCCCATGGAGAAAGGTTCCATGCTTAAGGCTTGGAGGGCAGAGGAGAAGAAGCCCCAGAAAAAGAAAACAGATTTTTCCAGAGACAGGAGAGGGTGGGACAGGCTGGGAAAGGCTGTGAGAGCCATGTACCTAAAACAGTGAGCTGGGTCCCGTGTTAGCCAGGATGGTCTCGATCTCCTGACCTCGTGGTCCGCCCGTCTCAGCCTCCCAAAGTGCTGGGATTACAGGCTTGAGCCATCGTGCCCGGCCTTGCATATTTAATAAAGGCGGGGTTTCACTGTGTTAGCCAGGATGGTCTCGATCTCCTGGCCTTGTGGTCCCCCCGCCTTGGCCTCCCACTGTGCTGGGATTACAGGCTGAGCCTCCGCGCCCAGCTGTACTACTTTGAATAGGTCTTAATAGGTTTTGATTGTTAATTATTTGTAAATTAATTTCAAAAAGCTTCTACAACATGGATGAAACTTGAAGACATTATACTTAGTGAAATAAGCCAGACACAAAAGGACAAACGTCATTTGAATCCACTTTTATGAGGTACCTAGAATCGGCAAATTCACACAGACAAACAGTAGAAGAGGTTATCAGGGCGAGGGGGAAGGAAGAATGGGGGACTGTAGTTAGTGGGTTTAGAGTTTCTGTTTGGGAAGATGGAAGAGATGGGGTCCCACAATGTTGCCCAGCTCATCTGGAACTCCTGGGTACAAGCAATCCACCCACCTTGGCCTCCCAAAGTGCTGAGATTACAGGCATGAACCACCACACCTGGCCTCCCATCTCTTCAAATTTCGGAACCTTACCCTTCTATCACTATAACACTATTTCCCTCACAGGATGCATGGTCATTATCAAGAAAGGCAGGAAGGGCGAAGATTCCTAGCATTTCTCTCTCAGTCCAGTTTGGTGCTTACATCTTATTTTGGGTTGCACTTGACATCTTGACATATGGAATACTTGTCAGTTAGGCTTACAACAGCCTTAGAGTGATCATGTGGGTAACCTTGATGAGAGATATGATCGTTATATTCTAACCAAAATGTAGCATCCAAACATAAGACAAATACTTACATGTGATAAATCCTGCATGAAAGAGAGGATAACGGTGCCCACCTCTGATAATCTGTCTCAAATCAAGGCAGTAAAATTCCTGCAGAGAAAAAAAACAGAAGTGTGTCTGCCAGCTGCTGGCCTGTGTTAGAGAGGGCTCTTTCTAGGGGCACCAGAGGGAATGGAGTGTAATTCAAACTGGAAGCCTTTTAAAGCCAGAGCTAGCTCACCTATTGAGGCTATACCTTTTAACTCTAGTCAACTGCAGTAGTCAGGACTCTTGTTGCAAGTGACAGAAACCCAACTCAAACTAGCTTAAGCCTAAAGACAGGTTTATGGACTGTCTCATGGAATTCATAAACAAGATAGTTCTATCTCTCAGAACTCATTGGCCTTAAGAACTGGAGTCAGAGACTCAAACACCACTCTGTCTCTCTGAGATTTGTCCTTATTTCTCAGCAATTCCCCCAATCCTCTAGTTCACATAATCTGAAGCATGGTTACAGGGAGCTCCTAAATTTTATATTTTGCAGAGAGCCTGGTTCAACTGTCTTTCAGTCTCCGTTCCAAATATCTGTGTAAGGACATTTATTGGACCAGCCTGGGACAGGTGCCTTCCCCTGAATCAATCAGCACTGGACATAGGACAAGTTCACATGATAATCTGGCAACCTAGAAAAACGAAGTAAGAAGCAGAAACAGCCTTTAGAAGGCAAGTAATGCCAAACCGACATTGCCATGGGTGATCTCTCAATCAACAACCCTACCCATCTCTCGGCCTCCCAAAGTGTTGGGATTACAGGTGTGAGCCACCGTGCCTGACTGGGTTTTGTTCTTTCTTAATTTTTTTTTCCCCAGAGACGGGTCTAACTATGTTGCCCACACTGGAATGCAGTGGTGTAAACATAGTGCACTACAGCCTTGAACTCTTGGGCTCAAATAATCTTCCTGCCTCAGCCTCCTGGATAGCTGGGGCTACAGGTGTGTATCATCATGCCCAGCTAATTTTTTAAAATTTTATTTTAACTTTTTCTGCAGAAACAAGCTCCTGCCATGTTGCCTGGACTGTTCTCCAATTCTTGACCTCAAGTGATCCTCCCACTTTGGCCTCCCAGTGTTGGGATTACAGGTATAAGCCACTGTTCGAAGCCTTTTATAACATCTTGAAGTCAGTAAGAAATGGATCATCTCATCTGGCTGGGCGCGGTGGCTCATGCCTGTAATCCCAGCACTTTGGGAGGATGAGGCGGGCAGATCATGAGGTCAGAAGATCGAGATCATCCTGGCTAACACGGTGAAACCCCGTCTCTACTAAAAATATAAAAAATTATCCAGGCATGGTGGTGGGCACCTGTAGTCCCAGCTACTCGGGAGGCTGAGGCAGGAGAATGGCGTGAACCTGGGAGGCGGAGCTTGCAGTGAGCCGAGATCGTACCACTGCACTCCAGCCTGGGTGACAGAGCAAGACTCCATCTCAAAACAAACAAACAAAACAAACCAAAAAACAAAAAAAAGGAAAGAAACAACAAAACCCTAGCAGAATGCTGCCCATAGCTAGTCTTCACTCAGGAATGCCCATTTGGCCACACAGTAGCTCTCAGGAAAAAAACATTAATTAGTTCACCGATAGAGCAAGGAAACTCACTCATTAGCTTTAGGTCTGTTTTAGGGCAGATGGCGTAATTGTATAAAATATCATGGAGTTATTCAAGAAGCATTCACTGAGAATGTATTCTGTTCATGTTCCACCCTACTCCTTCTACCTTGGTCTTCAGCATCCTGGTTTTCCAGTATCCTTGGGCACTACGCTTTTTTTGTTTTTTGAGACAGAGTCTCACTCTGTCTCTGAGGCTGGAGTGCAGTGGTGCCATCGCAGCTCACAGCTCACTGCACCCTCCGCCTCCAGGATTCAAGTGATTCTCAAGTTTCAGCCTCCTGAGTAGCTGGTATTATAAGCACATGCCAACACGCCCATCTAATTTTTGCATTCTTAGTAGACATGAGGTTTCACCATGGTGAAACCAGCTAGGCTGGTCTCAAACTCCTGGCCCTAAGTGATCCGTCCACCACTGCCTCCCAAAGTCCTGGGATTACAGGCATGAGCCACTGCACACAGCCTGCTGTGCTCACTTTAAATATGGAAATACTGGTATTTTTGTTGGTGTAATACTATTGTTTTGGCCTGAGTCTGAAATCTGAATTATTTTGTATTGAGACTATTCATGGAGTTTTTTGATTCACTAAAATTCCAAATTGAACAAGGATACATTTAATTAATTTAAAAATAATTTTTCCAGGCCGGGTGCAGTGGCTCACACCTGTAATCCCAGCACTTTGGGAGACCAAGGCAGGTGAATCATTTGAGGTCTGAAGTTCAAGACCAACCTGGCCAACATGGCAAAATCCAGTCTCTACTAAAAATACAAAAATTACCCAAGTGTGGTGGCGTATGACTGTAATTCCAGTTACTCGGAAGGCTGAAGTGGGAGAATCACTTGAACTCAGGTGGGCCAACACCTTCCAAACTAATATTCAGAAAAGCTTAACCTGTCTAACTTGCTTCCTCTTTCTTCCGTTAGCTACCCAGGAACATTTTATTATATTATATAATAATATTAATTATTATTATTATTTCACACTTCTATACTTTACTATCTCGAAGAGTCAGAAGATAACACCAACAAAGCAAAGCATCTGATGCAAAAATATTTTTTTTTTTTTTGAGATGGAGTGGAGTCTCCCTCTGTCACCCAGGCAGGAGTGCAGTGGCACAAACTCGACTCACTGCAACCTCTGCCTCCCGGGTTCAAGCGATTCTCAGCTTCCCTGAGTAGCTGAAGTGATGCGCCCGCCACCACACTCAGTCAATTTTTGTATTTTTAGTAGAGACGGGTTTTCGCCATGTTGGCCAGGCTGATTACGAACTCCTGACCTCAGGTGATCCACCTGCCTCAGCCTCACAAAGGACTGGGATTACAGACATGAGCTACCGTGCCCAGCTACTGATGCAAAAATAATATTCTTAACACTGGTTCAAAGACTTTTTGAAGAAGCAGATAATGAGCATGACAGAATCAAAACTGATTTGGGGAACTGATTAAAATCTCTATCTAGGTCAGGCATGATGGCTCACACCTGTAATCCCAGCACTTTGAGAGGCCAAGACAGGTGGATCACTTGAGGTCAGCAGTTCGAGACCAGCCCAGCAAACATGGTGAAATCCCATCTCTACTAAAAATACAAAAATTCGCTGGGCGTGTTGGTGTGCACCTGTAATCCCAGCTACTCAGGAGGCTGAGCCACGAGGATCACTTGAACCCAGGTGGAGGAGGTTGCAGTGAGCCACGATCACACCTGCACTCTAGCCTGGGCAACCCTGTCTCAAAAAAAAAAAAAAAAAAAATCCCAACTCATACATTATGAAACTGAAAGATCAAAAGAAAGCAGAACGATTTTTTTGGAGCAAAACACACTGCTTGCTGTCAATAAAAAGATTACAGTCCTAACCTTTCCCCCAAGAATTCTGTCAGATAATCTCAAAGTTATCAAAATGAAATGGGATTATTTAAAGATGAAGGACTTAAAGAAAATTATTTGGCCAGGCATGGTGACTCACACTTGTAATCCCAGCACTTTGGGAGGCTGAGGCTGCTGGATCACCTGAGGTCAGGAATTCAAGACCAGCCTGGCCAACACGAAGAAATCCTGTCTCCACTAAACATACAAAAATTAGCCGGGCATGGTGGCGGGTGCCTGTAATCCCAGCTACTCCAGAGGCTGAGGCAAGAGAATCGCTTGAACCCAGGAGGCGGAGGGTGTGCGCCTGTAATCCCAGTTACTGGGGAGGCTGAGGCATGAGAATTGCTTGAGTCCGGGAGACGGAGGTTGCAGTCAACTGAGATCTCACCACTGCACTCCAGCCTGGGTGACAGAATAAGACTCTGCCTCAAAAAAAAAAAAAAAAAATTATTCAGTGCTATTTTATCTTAAGTGTTTTATGATTAAACGTCTATAATTGTCTACTGCACTGTTTATTATTTTTATTTTTATTAAACTTTAGATTCATGGGGCACATGTGCAGGTGTGTTCCATGAGTACACTGTAAAATGCTAAGGTTTGGGCTTCTAGTGAACCCATCACCCAAACACTGACCATAGTACCCAATAAGTAGTTTTTCAACCCTTTTCCCTCCTTCCCTCCCCACATGTGGAGTTCCCAGTGTCTGTTATTTCCATCTTTATGTCCATTTGAACCCATTGTTTAGCTATTTATTTATTTATTTTTTGAGGCAGTCTCGCTCCTTCACCCTGGCTGGAATGCAGTGGCTGCATCTCAGCTCACTGCAACCTCCCCCTCCCGGGTTCAAGAGATTGTCCTGCCTCAGCCTTGAGTAGCTGCGATTACAGGCATGCACCACCACACCAGGTGAACTTTTGCAATTTTAGTAGAAATGGGGTTTCACCATGTTGGCCAGGTTGGTACCGAACTCCTGGCCTCAACTGATCCACCTGCTCTACCCTCCCAAAGTGCTAGGATTATAGGCATGAGCCACTGCACCTGGCCTACTTTTAAATACTTTTTGTGGAGGGGGGGGTGGGACAGGGTCTCACTCTGTCACCCAGGCTGGAGTGCAATGGCTCAATCATGCTTCCCTGCAGCCTCAAATTCCTGAGCTCAAGTGATCCTCCCACCTCAGCCTACCGAGCAGCTGGGGCTACAGGCACGCACCACCATGCCCAGCTAATTTTTCTATTTTTTGTGGAGACAGGGTCTTGCTATGTTGCCTAGGCTGGTCTCAAACTACTGAGCTCAAGCAATCTACCCACCTTGGCTTCCCAAAGTGCTGGGATTATAGGCATAAACCACTGTCCCTGGCCTAATAATGTAGGATCTTACTGAATGCTTCATAATATGATTTTAAAAGTTTGTATTTGAAATGTATTTAAATATTTAGTTTGATCTTTTGAAAAACATATGAATTCCTAACAGATTACAAAATACTAGTTGTGCCCAGGAGGTGGAGGTTGCAATGAGCAGAGATTGCACCACTGCACTCCAGCCTGGGTGACAGAGCAAAACTCCAACTCAAAAAAAAAACTA